ACAGGGAGTTCAATATTGTTATAAGCATGCAGTGAACTCTGCAATATCTGACCTAATGTGGTAGAAGAGTAAACTTATAGATGTGTAGATAAACATATAGGCAAAACAGAGATTAAACATTTAAACAAAGTTAGTAGTATCCATGTGTAGACTGGGTCAAGGTTATAAGAAGGCAACTGGAACATATAACCACTGAGCCGCCAGGCGAGCATCTTTGCCAGAATGCTTCACTTCGGTTCCAAAGCTCTTTTACAGACACCGCTGGAAAGCATATTTACAATACAAAACAGTAACAGATAGCTGCTGAAAGTGAAAGGCAGCGTCTTCATTATCATCATCACCATTTTCTTCTTCTATCTTAGCGTTCGCCGCTTTAAACTCCGGCAGAAAGTTCTGGTTGTTCGTTTGGACTGAAGTCTTGTTCTAGGACTTGAGTTTTGCGTGCACATCCAGTTTACAGAGCTATAGCCTTTTTTTGTAAATTGAGACTACTAGTTTCTCGCATCGCAGGCAGTAACACCCGGACATCGGATGAAACACCTATAATTAGCTATCTTTTAGGGCATGCTGCTAGTGGGTATATTCTTGTTTACCTCCCTAAATAGGGTCCCAGAACCCACAGGGAAACGACATTTTCGAAGCTGCGATAATTACAAGAATGACTAGCCTACCCGGGGAGAAATCTGGGTCAGCGGTCATGTCTGCAGACCAGCCAAAGGTCAAGTCACTGGAGAGTGGACTGCATTCAAATGACTTTGACCTGTGACCTTATCTTTACCTATTTACCTCCCCTTGTCCCGGTAATGATGTCAGTTCAGTCACTAAGGAACAGACGGGACTTAAGATCCCTCTGAATTTTAAATGACCTCTCTCTCTCTCTATCTCTCTCTCTCTCTCTCTCTCTCTCTCTCTCTCTCTCTCTCTCTCTCTCTCGCTCTCGCTCTCTCTCTCTCTCGCTCTCTCTTTTCTTATTAGAGAGTGGACGGGCACTAAGCTTGCATTACTCAGACCCTGGACTGTTCCCCCATATCTATCTCTCTTTGTGAGTCTGTGTGGTGGCTTTATTTTCTGTCTCTAATACTTTGGGCCCCCACACACACACACACCTTACCCACGCACGTCTCAACGTACGCTGGTGTCAGGCGAAGAAGTAACAATTTCTCTCACTATTTCATGTAGTCGCGTAGACATTTATTTTAAGACACTCGTTTACAGTCATCATCATCTCGATTATCCGGATCGAGATTATCAGGATCGTACTATCTGGCCCAGTTATTGTTATAATTTTTGTTTGTACTGTATAAATTCTCATAACGAAACAAGGAATAATTTATGGACCTGTTCACGATTCCCGGCCCATCTACACCCTTTGTCAGTTTGACATAGGTCTGTGGGGTGTCGCGCTGTCCGGCTTTCTTTGAAAAGAATCGTTCGTGTGACCTAGGCTCAGGCTTTGGGTGGGGGGGGGGGGTGAGCCCATCTACACTCTTCTACGTCGGACGGGTGTCACGTTTTCTTGCCTCCAGTTACATCAGTGCCGACTACAGAGCTTTCAACGACCCAAGAATATCTATAACTGACCATAACCCGAACGCCCCTTACCCACAGCCTGAGCCCTGGTCAACAAGAGACTCTTTTCAAAGAAAGCAGTACAACGTGACACCCCTCTGATCTAGATAAGACTAAGAAAGTATCTAGATGGGCTGGGGAAACGGAAACGAGTCCGGGTCCGTTTGTTTCTCGACTAGGATCCGGGACCAGATTTCTTTTTATGGGAAAAAAATAAGACACACTTATAGGTCACATTCCATTGATAACTTTCTTGGACTGGTCTTACCTGCTGGGGGTTACGGGTGTGCCGCTCTGTTGCTTGCAATCTGTGTTGTCTTGCATTTACGTTTTTATTCAGAGAAAAAGAATGCCTGTGACATAGGTTTCATCCCTCTCTATAGGAGTTGTGTGTTAGACACGGTATGCCAATACTTTTTTGGAGCGTTAAAAGCGCTGGCGTTTTGAAATATACAACACGCGATGTCAACGGCATTGCGGAACACCCCTGTGAAATTGTACCAAGGACGCGTGCCTCAAGGTCGACTAATCAGAAGCTAGCTAGGCTAAAGGTCGACTAATCAGAAATGAGCTAGTGTGTATATGGGCGGTCCGCGTGGAGACCAATGTTACTATTACCCACTTCTTTTAACTGAAACAATGAGATATGAATGTCTGTTTGTCTGAAACACACCCTGTAACCGCCCTTTTAAGGGCTAGAAGAAGAAGGTATTTATGTCTGTCTAATATTTGGTTGTTTCTCGATCTCTGCTCGTCTCTCTCTCTCTCTCTCTCTCTCTCTCTCTTTCTCTCTCTCTCTCTCTCTCTCTCTCTCTCTCTCTCTCTCTCTCTCTACTCGCCCAGTTGTCCACGCCTACCTGTCTGTCCGTCTATTCATCCATCCGACCAAACGCCTACACCCTGTCGTTGACTTACGCGTGGCTCTCTGTATCAGCCTCCTGATGGTGTTGTTGTATTTTGCCAGCAACAAAAAAGGAGAGGATATTGGTTTTGTCATCAAGTTTGATCATTTGTTAGATGTTCAGACATTTCCGTTTTTATGTGCAACGGTTTTATTTCTAGGTTGTATCTGCGGAATGAGTTCTGCGTTTGACTGTGATGTCATTGTGTGGGTATTGCTGTATTTATGAGAAATTGTTTTCCTTGTCTTTTTCGGTCTCAGTTTTGAAATTGTTCCCCTATACATTTGCATTCTGTAGGATTAACGTCTAAAGGATGATAATCAGGGTGGAAAAGGGGTGGAGGGATGAGGGGGGGGGGGGGGGGGGGGGGACTGAATAGTCCCGTGTTCAGAGCCCGGTGAAGGCTGGGATTTTTTCACGTGAACTTTTTGTAATTTTTCCTTTGTCTCTGGACAGTGAGGTCGCACGCCTGTATGTATTGTTGAGCACGTAAAAAATCCCTTGGTAGTTGGAAATCCCAAAAATGTAGCCTAACGGCGCTTTCCGGGCAAAATTTAAAGTTAAAATTATACCCAAAGTATTTAAGGATCCTCGCCTGTGCTACAGATCCTGTGCACTGTTCCGAGCTTCTTCGGACTCAGGCTTGAGAAAGAAGTCGAACACAGCACTTATGGGGTACTACCCTTGTGTCATGATGTTTGTTGGTCCGTTGTTTAAGCCGTAAAATCGGACCTGTTGCTAGTCCTGGAAACATCATTCAGTAGTAAAGCCTTAAATCACTGTTATTTTTGGGCATCGCAAAACGGTTTCCAAGTAATCTGTAGTTCCGGTGTGGGTGGGTAGGATTTTCTACGGCCGCGGGTGCGTAGTAGCTAAATACTTCCAGACGTCTAGAGTTTATATCCGCATCATACGGTTCCCCCACCAACCTTTCTGATTTGACATTGGGTCTCAGGTTGGCTTAGCCTAAAATGTACCCCATCACCTCTTCACTGCCGACTGGTCTATTTAAAAATAAATGCCCTGTTTCCCCTCTCGCCGTGTTCACGAAACGCCACTGACGTCATAAGGGTTCTTTACTTTACTTAAGGGAAGCCGCCGTGGTGCAGCGGTTAGACGCTCGCCTCCGGATCAGAAACTCGCGGGTTCGGGTCCCGACTCCGAAATCGGACTTTTTGTGTATGCAAATAATGACCTTGACTCCCAGGTTGATTCAGCCTTGAATGGGCATAGTCCAGGGAAGTAAATGCGGCCGGTGTAATGTTGACCACATCACCCACCGAGTGCCGATTGATCTATTAAAAAATAGGTTTAGTCCCATGTGCCCAATACGCTGAAGACGTGGAAACGGATCCCTTTACTTTACCTTCCATGTGATGTCATTGTGTGGGTATTGGAGCAGTTTTCAGAATGTATGTTTCTGTGTTGTCTGCACCGGTTGCTGTAGCTCAGTAGCTATCAAGAGAAAATATCAGTCCAGCCCGAGAAGTAGAACTCGCCACCTTTTGTTTTCTTATTCTGCTATCTCTAGTATCTATAGCACATATTTTGATTATGTGTTATATATTCTGGCTTCCACGTGACTCTGAATTCTATATTGTTGTTATTATATCTGCCTATTTCTTGTCTCAGAATTATGTATTTATATTGTGGCTACCTAACAGATGTGTCAGATGTTAACATTTCTGCCATGTTTATCCTGTATGACTCAGCAGTTAAATTAAAAACAGAATGATTTTGCACCTGTTTCCATCGATTAATGAAGAACAGCAGTAACCAAGATTTATAAGTGCGCTAAGGTGCCAGAGAATAAAAGCTGAAGAGGTGTTTCTCCTATGTTTATTTTGACGAACAGGCACATTCAATCATAGAAAAAAATGGGGAGGGTTTCAGCCATATATATATATATATATATATATATATATATATATATATATATATATATATATATATATATATATATATATATATATATCTTCTAGTCAAGTGGCCTAATCCTAGTTTAGGAGCATCATAATAATGTTCTGAATGTTAAACAAATATAATAAATTATTTTAAATAATATGACAAATTAAAGTTAGTTGCATATCCTTTACAGGACGTTGAAGAACCAAACCTAGCATTTTTGGCTGTTGTGGTGTGTGTTTTTTCTAGGCAGTTTTTGAGTTAAGAAATTTGCCATTTACCCTGAACGGTCAGCTCTTGGTACCACTGTTGAAACCGATGCAACACAAATCGACCGGAGCTGGGATCGAACCCAGCGCCTCGGCATTACGAAGCACATTCAAAATGCCCAAGCCAAGATGCCGACAATATGAAATTTTTTTATTTTTTTAAATGAAGAGAATCTATACATGGTTATAGGGAGTTGCTTCAACAAATGACAGAATTATTGCTGCAATGTCCATTTTGTCGTTTATAATGATCTTTTATTGGGAAGCTAATTAGTTCTGCTTATTTATGTTGATCTTTTCATGACATTAATTTGTATGGGATTAGTACAGTTGCTGGTCTACCTTCCTCATTCAGGTATTTATTAGAAGACCAACTGAAAGGACCCTCAAGTGTGGACGGCTACATCAGAGCGCTGCAGAAGGGCTGTCGGTGTGTGGAGTGTGAGTAGAAACCTCAGTAATGATTCTTGTCTCCTGTTTTACGAGTTTTTATTAGCTATTCCCCTTGGGGATTTCAGGGCCCGTTTTTTGGAAGGATGAGTTGCAGTTGGGGGGGGGGGGGGAGGTAAAAGAGCAAACCTATGCCCTTTAAGTTCACCTGGTCACCATGTCAAAAGCAGCTAATTGAGGGTTTGCTAAAAAAATCCCATATTTCAGACCGAAAGATGCAGATATCACAGCCTAGCTGTAAACCAGAACAGAGCGTGCTGCAACCCTGTAAATGGACAAAGAAGAGAATCAGTTATTCTGGTCCCCATGTGGGTTCCGGGACCCTATTGTTGGGGTAGGCAGAGGGATAAACTCACTGTCCCCCTTCCCAGCATGTTGTAAGTTAGTACAGTTTAGGGGAGTTTCCTTCGATTTCTGAGTGCATCTGCCTGTGAGAGATTAATCAGCAGTCTGCATACAGCTAAGCCTGATCTGTAAAACAGATATGCATGCGAAAATCAAGTTCTGGAATAACACTGACACCCAGAAGTGGATGACAACCCAAACTTTCTGCAGGAGTTTACAGCAAAGAAGGCAAAGAAAAAGAAGTTATGTCTACTTTTCTACAAGGTATTTTCAACATTTTTACCATTTACACAACGGTGTATGTTTGGTTTATGGATTGTGGGCATGAACTGCTGCCTTCGGAAATATTACACTGTGAGACTGCTGTGTCTTCCAAGGGTGTACCATTTTCACAACACATTGTGTTTGTTTATGGATTGTGGGCTTGAACTGCTGCTGCCTTTGAAAATATTACACTGTGAGACTGCAATGTCCTCCAAGGGGTTACTCTCTTACTGTTGTCCAAAAGCCATAAGTGTGATGATTTTTTAAACCACCCACCCACCGCCTTTGTGAAACCTGCCCACAAACCTAAAAGCCACACATATTCAAATGTATGTGAGTGCTTTTTGATAAAATGTCTTTCATCTTTAATTTTCTAGGGATAGATCTTTAACCTTTGATATAGTGAAAAGGTAATTCCGAGGTAATCCTCAAGCTAATCTTTAGGGAAAGATAGTTTCAAGGTAAATCCTTATGTTAATATTTATGCCAGTCGTAGCCAAGCGAATTTAAAAGGGGCAAGTAAACTAATCATTTCAGTTTCAAGGGAGATAATTTGAGAGCAATGTGTAGCGAAAGAATGCATTGTTGATCTCTCTCTCTCTCCCCCCCCCCTCACTTCTCTCTCTCTCTCTCTCTCTCTCTCTCTCTCTCTCTCTCTCTCTCTCTCTCTCTCTCTCTCTCTCTCTCTCTCTTCTCTCTTTCACTTTTCTCCTCTTTCACTTACTTCCTCTGTCTGTGAGAGAAAAAGATAGTGTGTGAGAGAGAGGCAGCTTCAGAAAGTTCACAATAATCACTCACTCCTGTTTGTTTGAATTATTCAGTATTTAAAATTATAGGTTGTCAGATTTTAATAACTTTAATGAAACAGCATTTGTTGATGGGTGGTTTTTTGTGGGGGTTTCCTTTTGAACTGAAGTGACAAAAATGTGTTTTTGTCGTGAACGTAGCATCTTCAGTGTTAAAATGTCTTTGATTGGGTTTTGATGTTATCCTCCCACTTGTATCACTGTCTACCTAAAGTAGCAGGCTTTTTCCTGGCAAACCAACAGTAAGCATTAATGGCATACCTGGACACTTGGAAGTAAATGATATTGTTAAAAGAGTTGACCAGCTGTCAAGTAATCTACCAATGCAAATTGGAAGAAGCATGGACAGAGCTGATATCATCAACGCTGTATGAATTTGATATCAACATGATTGCGTGACCAAAGAGTGTAGCTTGGTGAAGCACATCTAAGCCATCTTCCAGGTAAAGACAGGAGATACTATAACCAACTCCTCATGGGAACAATCAGTAGAGGTACCTTGGAGTGGCTGCTGCATCAGAAAACTGAGCACGCATGGGAATGCTCATTGTGCAAAGACGTTGATTGTGATAAGATAACATGTTAGGCTGGCAACCCAGGTCAGTTATTTGTTATATCCCCACTGAATCTAACATATAACTTTTTCTTATGTTTGCCAGTGGACTGCTGGGACGGCCCTAATGATGAACCAATCATATACCATGGCCACACACTGACATCCAAAATCTCTTTCAAGTCAGTTATTGAAGCGATCAATGAGCATGCTTTTGCTTATTCAGAGTAAGTCTGTGATGTCTGTGTTTAGGATGTTCTAGTTTGAGTAATGAACTTTCTCACAATAGAGGCTTTTGAGCTGTAATGCTATAGAAAGATTCTCAGAATACCATAGACCAAGAAGAAAAAGAAATACTGGCATCCTGAAAGATCTGAATGTCAAGGAGAATTGGCTTGTAAACAGCATCTTGCTTTGGATACTGAAATACTTTAACGGAAACAAACATCTTGGTTGATTGGAAAGAACAGGGGTGGAGGTCATGTTACTAGGTAAGAGAGGCAGGGGTTGACCAGCATAAAGACCAGCTCTCTGCAAGTGACCAGCCGCTTTGAGGAGAGAGACTGAGCCATATAGGATAAAAGCCTGTGCAGTGAGGTCGATCCTGTGGACTTCAGCTTTGCTTCACATTTCATCCTTATCTAATCACCTTCAACATTTCTGTAACAGCCATTTTTTTTTTGGAGGGGGGGGGGGGGGGGGGGGATTAATCTTTCACTATTGTCACTTCTTCCTCCATGTTTTCCTCTTTAATATACTATTCCTGTCCCTTTCTTTTTTCACTATTGTCCCCTTTTCATCATTGGTTTAATGGTCTCTTTAAAAAATAAAAATATTAACTTTTCATTATTGTTGCTTCTTCCCTCCCCCTCCTGTTTTCCTCATTTTTATTCTCTTTTCCTATTTTCATCAAATCCACTCCTCTTGTTTTCATCATTGATTCCTACTCTTTTCCTGCTCCATATTTAACCGTTGTCTCCTCCTTTCCCTCTTTACTTTTTATTGTTGTTTCTCTCTCTCCTAATCCACCTCCATTGTCCACATTTCATCCTTGCTTCTTCCTCTTCCCCTCCACATCATCATGTCTTTCTCCTCTTCTTATACCCTTACCTGCTCCTTCTCTTGCCAGCTTCAGTTTTTATCATTTTCTCCTCCTTTGATTTCCTTTTTATCAACTATCTTTCACTTTTCAACCTACACCTTTTAATCTTATAGAAGGATATCCCTTCACTGGTCTCATATCTTTTGCTGTCTCTTCTAAATCTGTCTGGGTCTTTCAAATATAAATCATCCATTTCTTTTTCTTTTTTCTTTTTCTGTAATGTTATCTTTTGATACCACATATTTATTCCAGAAGCTAGATATTTAGTTACTTATTTAATTAATTTCCTGAGTTTTCTATCACTACTTTTAGTTCACCTGACATTGATGGTGAAATCTGATAGTTCCTTCCATGTGTTTTACTTCAGTAGTTATTTTTGAACAGTCTCCCTATTAAATTTCCAACTTGTCTATATTTTCTGTTGCCTTTGTCAGTTCTTCTTCTCTTCCTCCTCCTTTGTCTTCTTGTTTGTCTTCGTCTTCTTCGTCTTTTTCTTCTTCTTCTTCTTCTTCTTCTTCTTCTTCTTCTTCTTCTTCTTCTTCTTCTTCTTCTTCTTCTTCTTCTTCTTCTTCTTCTCCTCCTCCTCCTCCTCCTCTACCTTTTTTCCCCTAATGGTGCATAGGACCTCAACCAATCTATGCCTAGTTGTCTTATCTTTTGCTTTTAGCATTCATCACATCCCATGTTTTCCTATCTTTTAAACTTCATTCTCTAGCTGCCTTCTGCTTCTTGTGTGTTTGTGAGTGTGTCCTGGGTGCAGACGTGCACCTTTATTTCTCTGCATCTGTGAGTTCAACGGCAAAGACATCCTAGTTATATTATTTTCAAACTGTCACAACTTTTCCCACACAGATTTCCTAATGCTGTGAAAGCTTCTCTTGCCTTTTGTATTTATATTTTAAAATCTCCATCGGTTCCCTCTTCTTTATATACATTACTGCTGCAATAGATGTTTGACCCCACATCTTGGTGTAGAATATCACATAAATTAGATTACTGTCTGCCTGGCTTATTCTCGTTATATTTGTCTTTCCCTTATGGATTTTTATACCTAGTGATTGGGATCTCGCATCAAGTATGTTTATTTTATCACTTAGTGTGCATTTTTTTATTTCCCAGTTCCTATTTTAGTTTGGGTCGACCTGGGAGTCAAAGTCATTTATAAAAATCCACCCCAGTGCAGATTCGAACACAAAATCTTCAGGCTGGCAGGCTGCCATGACTCCCTATAATTGCAATTACATATGTGATTAAATAACATGTCGCTGCAGAGATGGGTACCGTCAAGCTTGTTAGAATCCGGTTAACGATGAGAATTATTTACTTCCTCAAGACCAGATGAGTGCCAGTCTTCAAGTTCACTTTCCCAGAGCATTATTTTCAATTAAAACATTGATTGAGCTGTAGGAGAATTGTATGTTTTTTTAAGCTTGTGGATTTTGTGATGCCCAGCAGAGGCTCGCAGCAAGTATAATCAACTGGATAATTATATTGAATGAATTCTGCAGAACTGGAAGTGTGCTAAATCCCTTTTATCAAGACATATTTTTTTCCAGTTCAAGAAAAAAGCATGAAATCTTAACATCACATTCTTTTCATATTTTTTATTATTCTAGCTCTTGCAAGGTTTCTTTTGTTTCACTGTTTTGCCTAGTTTTCATAAACTTGTTGTATTGTTCTATTCAATCTATGTGTGTGTATTAACTCTTTCGGTGCCAAGGAACTCACAGTACGTTCATCGTCTACTCTTTAAATGGTACTCATTTCGTGATGTCTTCTGCCCCATTCTCCTGTTGTGTTAACCCATTCTACATTAAGCATCATTATAACTCTTGTTGCAAAGCTGTATTTTGATTATTCTGTGAGACTGAATAATTGTTGCTTTGAGGCACCACAACTGTATGATAGCCTTACTGTAGTAACAGTTTGGACTAATAGAGTTAAGAGTATGTTCATGTTTTAAGAGTGCCACCCTCAACCTTTGTCAAAGGACAGTGCAAGTATAGTAGTGTTATACTTCATGTCTGTACTAAATTACCTGTACATGAACTGTCGGTCAGGCCAAACGGACAAAGTTGGGAAGTAAGCCATAAAGGTAGAACAAAACGCTTGCACAGAGGAGATTATGGGGAAAAGATTCTAGGGCATTGTGACCGTACATCTAGTACTGGACAGTTAGAGTGTAGCATGTTATCCACCATGGTAGTAACTGATAGAGATGTGGTTTGGTTAGATTGCGTTTCTAATTGTGTTGTACATTGTTTGAGGAAGTTAAGCTCTTGTAGCATTGTTACATGGTTAGGTTTGTTGAATCAGATACGAACGAACGAACGATTAGCTATCTAAGGTTGTTGGGTATTGCTTGTAGTGATTTTTTTCTGCCCTCCCACATTCTACCACTCACTCTGTGCATGCCTTACGATCCTCGTGTCAGGGCTAGCAACAGTGGAAAGAGCCTGTTGGGAGAAATGTGGGTTTGTGCCCGGTGCTTATCCACAGGGATGGAAAGGTGTGAATGGTGATTTGTAAAGCAATCTCAAACTGCATTTCGGATAGGGGCGCCTACACCCTCTTAGGGCAAACTGCCAGGTGTTTGATTTTCTTTGTACATTAACGCTTCTTGTGTGTGCTGTGGGAGTGTTCGTGTTCGGTGTGTTTAGGGTAGATTTATCTGTCGTCGGCCTGTAACTCGAGTCGTATACCTTACGGCAGAAAAAAGATTGTCAACACCTCTCCCCCCCCTTTGCACCCCCTTTCTCCAAATCAAGTAAGTCTTATAGGAAAGCAGAGAAAGCTCACTCTACCTCGCATGTCATAAAAGGCAACAAATGGTAGAATTGAGCTTAAAATTAGTTACTTAATTTTGTAAAAGACCATAAAAACCACCATACAAACCAACCAGTTATGCACAAATCAAATAAGTATGGTGTCTGTGACTTATGGATTATGAATGTGGTTTCAGGGTTCCAGCATTCTTTGGTTTTAGTGAGCCGTGGGAGATTCGACAGCAGACCGCTAGCATGAAGTTTAATAATAATTTATGTAATCCGGACGCAAACCATAGAGCACAGTATTTTTCCAGGCATATTACTACAAAATAACATTAACGTATAATGAAGCACAAAATCTGTATAAACTCCACTGAAATACAACCGGTCTCTCTCAGTACATTGTTCATCTTTTCGCTGGAAGTTTACGATAGTCACATGACTTACCAGGATAACTTCAAATTTATAATGAATTCTTTCTGTTTACATAAAGGAGAGAGCCAATTCCTCTATCTGCGGTCATTGGCTTGACTACAGACCAGTGCTTTCTGTGTGATTTACCACACTCAGAATACAGACTTGCCGAAGCTTTAAAAATTAAAATGAACAATGCCACCATCAGATTGCCTCAAGGACTTTCTTCTGCCTCAACTGTCCAGTGCAGAAATCAAACCTTGGTACTCAAGGGTTATAAAATTTGATCATTAACCATATTTTAAGCCACAAAACAGTACAGTTTATCTTACAAAGACAAATCTCATAAGTTTCTATTTTCGTTGCCTGTTGTCAATAGGTATCCTGTGATATTGGCCATAGAAAACCACTGCACGGTGAAACAACAGCAGACTATGGCACACTACCTGAAGTCCATCTTTGGAGACAGACTGTTTGCTAGCAGTGTGGATATAAACCGAACCACACTTCCTTCGCCAGAGTTTTTTAAAGGAAAGATACTCATTAAAGTGGGTCTTTGTTTTGTTTTATTAATTTGTTGTGTTGAGGTTTGTTTTTGTGCAAAATATTTTAGTTATTGGATATGCATACATCTCATTCCTTATTTGAAAGTCTAATGTTATTTAATTTTTACCATGTGCCTGGGAAAATTGGAGAACCTATAAAAACAGGGAAAATTGCCTGAGAAAAATGTTGAATATAAAATGAATTTAGGAAAAATAAATTTTAAAAAGTAATAAAATTTTAAAAGGAAGAGAATTGTCTGTTGGTGTCACCAATTGGAAAGAGAAGACCAATCAGAGAGATGAATGGAGACGGGTGATATCTGCAGCAGTGAACCTCAAGGGCTTGGAGTGCTGAAGAAGAAGAAAATTGAGCAACCACTGATAACAACGGTGATAAGTGAAAGAAAATAGTGCTATGTTTGAAACATCCTGAGAAAAAAACAACAGGCTGAGAATGACCAAACAGGTACTAAAATGAGAAATAAAGGGATTGGGAAGCCGGGATGTCCAAAAGAAACCCTAAAATGAATGTTAAGGAGGCCAAGGATGTTGAATTAGATTCCATCCCTGATATCGAAGAGATTGCGCAGGATATAATGGAATGGAGGAATAGATGGCTAGTACTGTGTGATATATAATGAAGAAAGCCAGCAAGAAAACTGCTGATAAAGACGTCTGGCAAACCTCTACACCCCAGGGTAGAAGAGGAGCAACTAAGTAATTAAGTAAGTGATATATAATGGCAAAATAGACAGTGCTAATGTTGATGATGTTAATCCATCTCATTGTGGGAAGCTCACACTGGATTAAAATAAATCAACCAGGATTTCTGTCACAGTGAACATTAACTAATGGATCTCCAACACACACTATATCTGGTCCTGGTTGTTCACTCTATCTCAGACTATTGCTAAGTAATTTCTTAATTTTATCTTCTCACTTTTACGAGACGGCTGACAAAACTGAAAGCTTAAACGGGAGAAGAGAACGAGAAAACATTTAGATGGCTTGCCCAAATAGCTTCACAAAATGTCTTTATGGCTTGGCCAAATGGCTTCACAGAATGTCTAGATGGCTTGGCCAAAAATGGCTTAACAAAATGTCTCTATGGCTTGGCCAAATGGCTTCACAAAATGTCTTGATGGTTTGGCCAATGGCTTAATTAAATATGTTCCTGGCTTGGCCGAATGGCTCAACTAAATACCTAGATGGCTTGGCCAAATGGCTTAACTAAATACCTAGATGGCAAGGCCAAATGGTTAACTAAATATGTATGTAGCTTGACCAAATGGTTTAACTAACTATGAACATGGCTTGGCCGGCCTAACTAAATACTTAGATGTCTTGGTCAAATGGCTTAACTAAATACCTAGATGGCTTGACAAAATGGTTAATTAGAAACAGGAAGAGAGACTGAGTATCTGTGGGTTTTGCTTGATAATGCTGATTCCTAAATCAGTCAGTAAACCTGTGTATTTAGTGCTGGTACTCGGTTATCTGAATTGACTAATAATAATTATATATTAAGGCAGAAAATATGTTCTTTTGAGCAGAAGGGGACAAGAAGAAGAGAAATATTGACATTCTAAAAGAGCTGAATATCAAGGTAGACTGGCTTGTAAACAGTATCCTGTCTCAACAACTAAAACACTTTGACAATATCAGACATCATTGGAAAGAACAGTAGCAGAGAGCATAGTTTCAGAATAGAGGATCAGGATCTGACCAGCACAAAGAGCTCATTGAGTCAGTGTGGTTAGGCAGCAAACTTAAACCTAACTTTAAAAAAAAAAAAAGAATCAATTTAAAGAACCAGCTGTAGTTTAGTTTAGTCGACAGATTAACATAATGGCACATCATGTGTAACCCATAAGTGGTCCATTCTTCCTTTAACTCAAGCCTGAGTCTGAAGAATCTCAGCGCAGTGCACAAACTCTGTTGCAGCGACGAGGATCCTGAAATAGCTTGGGTAGATTTTTAACTCCAAATTTTGCCTGGGCAGCGCCTTTAGGCTACTCTTTTTGATTTCCAACTGCCAAGGGATTTGTTTACATGCGCAAGAATACACGTGTATTTTTTATGTGCCTCTGATCTTACTACCCAGAGACCAGGGGAAGTTACTAGAAGTCCATGTAAAAAAAATCTCAGCCTTTACCAGGATTTGAACCGGGGACCTCCAGCACTCGAGGCAGACAACAAACCTCAAGACCACTCAGCCCCCCTCCCCCCATATGTGTACCAGATGTAGTAGTGCATTTTATTGAATAATTATAAAGAGTCATTATCATCATGTGCTGTGCCAGTAAGTGTATGCTGTCATATCTCACCGTCTCATTTGATCACCAAAATTACGAATCAGTTCAGTTTTTTCCCCCTTGTCCCATCTGTCTAGCCATAAAAAGTAATTAAAGGACCCTTTTCCACACCTTTAGACATATCAGGCATTTAGGGCTAGACCTATATTTTTATAGACAAATTGGCACAGGATGGGTGATGTGGTCACCATCACGCCAGCCGCCTTTACTTTCCCGGGACTGCAACCGGTACCCACTCAAGGCTGGGTCGACCTGGGAGCCAAGGTCATTTTTTTTTTAAAGTCTGGCTCTGCCAGGAAGTGAACCCATGACCTTCCTATCCGTGGCGAGCGTCTAGCCACTTGGCTACTGCGACTCCCTGTCTGGCCATGCTTTCCAAGTATTTATCTCTTTACCTTTCTCTTGCTCTCTTTGCATTAATCTTGCCTGCAGTTACCAAGTTCTTGAGTTTGTTCCTACTCAGAACATGTCCAAAAATGTCTTTTGTCTACGTCTTAACTGTTCTGATAAGTTCAAAGCTTTCGTCTGCTATAATTAATGAGCTGAAAATACTGACTGATTTTGCCTTTATTTATAACTGCCTGAAGCTCCCATAAGCCCTGTTACATATCCTGGATGCCACTTCAACGGGGCAAATTCCAAATACTAATCATAAGTTATACAGTGCCGACCTGATAAGGATAACTTACCGGGACCCATGAACAAAATTTTTCTTCTTATCAGAAATTCCTCTTATCTAGATGGAATTTGACCAAGAAAAATTTCTGGGAATAAACAAATTGTTCTTCATAACAGAAATTTGCCACATCTAGGATCGTCTTAAGTGGTCTGCACTGTAATTATCATACCTGTAATACCTGCACAAAGCACTTCACTGGTGTACCCTGCATTCCAGTGCGGGTAATGGGTAATAATTATTTTTGAAAATACTTCTTCTGCCTTCTATTCCCCAGTGGAACATAGACCCTTGGCCATGCTATGTCATTCTGTCCTTCAAGATTGCATGCAGCTCACCCCTATGTCCTCCCCCATCTTTTTAACTTCATTCGCTAGCTCCCTTCTCCATGCGTTTTTTGATCTGCCTTTATTTGTATGCCCGTGTCGGTTCCAATTCAAATACATTCTAGTTGTATTTTTCTCAGTGTGGTCCTAATCAATGCCAGCATCTTTTCTTCGCCTTTTGGTGCACTGTAACTTGAAACCACTACTATATTTTATAATACCTTGTGTGTGCTAATCTAAATTGCAAGAACTCAAAGTAATACTGCTTGTAGAGAAAAAATCATTGCTCGCATGGGACTGCAAATTACACGAGTCTAGTGTAGCCATTACGGGTGCCCTAATTATAACTTCTTGGGAGGTTGAATGAGGTATCTTGAATTTGCCCTGTTGGTCTGCCACCCAGGATAAGACTTGAAGTCTCAGAGGTTATCAAACCTTCAGGTAGCAGCCCGCAGAGGGTGAAAACAGACAGTATAGTCTGGAGGAGTATTATAATTACGTAATAAATTCTGGAGAGTCATGATAGGAGTTGTGATAAAAGTAATGTTTTTGTATATGAACGCTTTATACAATGAGTTACTTTTTTTTTTTTTATTGCCAGGGTAAAAAACTTCCATCTAGCAATGAATCCAGTGAAGGATATGTTACTGACGAGGATGAAGGGGCAGAACCTGAGAAAAAGAAAAATCAGAAAAGGGTAAGTTATGTTCCATTCATTTTACACACACATGCACACGTGCACCCCCCTCCCCCCCCCACACAAACACACACACACACACACACACACACACACACACACAGAGACACACACACACACAAAACCAGCTGTATATGTTTTTTTTCACTGTGGTGAAATAAAGGTTATTATCTTTGCTTACTCTATGGCAGGAACTCATAAGAAATACTGCACAAGCACTGGTATGAACACTGAAAATATTAAGAAGATGATGATGCGTTGGACACATCCAGGATGGAGGACGCATATTGACATTTTTGCTCAAAGACCATGATTTCACCTTTTCTTTCATATTTTCTTTATTGAATTCATATCAGTTACCAGTTTAGAAATGCAACAGAAACATGTTCCACTGCTGGATCATATATGTATTTGTGTTACTGAAGTGTCCTTAATGTCGACCGTATGGAGCCTTCTGCACATCATATTTGGGTTGGGCATTACTTGAGTCATGAATCTTGAAATGGAGTGTGTTGAAGGGTCCAAAAGATTTAAGGCTGTAGATGCTAGGTCTCTTACGTGATGGGATGTACCAGCTGTTCCTCCATGGAAGTCTTCGAGGTAATAACTCCTTTGCCCAATGGAAGTTTTGCACAGCCAAGACCATTGTGCATGACCAAAAAGCCACCAAACACATTGCATCTAGAAGAAACAACCTCAGTAAAAAATGCACAAGCTTAAGGTGGACCTGCATGTCTTTGGTCTGAATGGGTCTGGGATTTCAGTCTCAACTATGGATGTCTTGTCAGTGGCAGGAGCTGCACCAGGCATATAGACTCCTTCAGGACATCTACTGTCTCTTCCTTAGCTAGAAATTTCTTGGATATGGAATACACAGATATTATAAACACCTGATAATAGAATAACTAGAATATTTTTGTTCTGGACAAGCTGGGCAGAGGAAGAACTTAAAACACATGGAGAAAAGAATTAGAATCAGGGATGAATAATTGAGGAAGATCTTGAAAAGGACTACAGGAGACGGCAGATGATAGAATAGCATTAAACCATACTGGAGAGAAAGGTGGAGGGCAAGAGAGCTAGAGTTAAACAATGATCCTAGTGGGAGGACAACATCAAGAGATTGATGAAAAGCAGTGTGAGAGAGTGTACTATGAAAACAAGAGATAGTGTGTTCAAAATCCATTGCAGCCAGCCTTTATTGTGAAGATGGCACCTGATTGATCATTTGAGGACGGCTTGGTATGATTTTATAGTGCACCTGATCGATAGATTGTGGACGGCTTGGTATGATTTTATAGTGCACCTGATCGATAGATTGAGGACAGCTTGGTATGAGTTGACTGAGTAAAGCAGAAGTAAAGAACCCTTGTCCACACTTTCATGCATATTCAGCACACAGGACTAGACCTCTATTTTATAGATCAGTCAGCACCAGTGGCTGATGGGGTCAGCATTGTGCCGGCCATCTTCACTTCCTGGGACCTTACCTGGTACACATTTGAGGCTGGGTCAAACCTGGGAGCTGAGGTCCTTTTTCTTAAACAGTTCGGCTCCATCAGGAGCTGAACCCACGACCTTCAGATGCACAAGTGAGGGTCTAGCTGCTACACTATGGCCGCTCTCCAAGTTGATTGACGGCCTATACTAAAATGAGGGATAAAGGGCGGAAACAGCAGATCTATATAAATGACTTCCCAAGATTCATTTTGAATTATCATAAGAAACAAGCGTCTTCGTACGCAGCAAATAAACAACGCCAAGATTGAGTCGCTGCTCATTCTAGGAGCTGACTGAAATTGGCAAGAATCTTTTTTTTTTTTTTTTACGACATCCAGTTACCAGCATTTTGAATTTATCCTTCTATTGTGAAGCAGTTTGTTAATTTGAGAAAAATGGAATTTGCTGAAAAGTGGGAGGCGTATGCACAGAAAAATTGTATTGTTTCAACTGAAACCTTTACCAACAAGCATTACAACTAGAAGAAGATTGACACCAGCCCTCACACTGGGAAATCATAGCCAATTTTTTTTCATTTTTTCATTTTAGGATGGGTCCATAAAGAAGCACAAACTGGTCAAGGAGCTGTCTGATCTAGTTAACTACATGGTGTCTAGGAGGTTCGAGGACTTTCAGACATCCCAACAAAACCGTAAGTCATTGATACCTTATTTGTAACAGAGATGTAACCACATTAGTAACAGCACTAGCGGTTCTTCTCCTGCTGCAGATACCTCAGTGAAATGTTTGGAGAAGGTTTTAAAACCCTTCTGTTGGCTCATTTGAATGGTGCTATGTATGCTGGTTTTCAGTTCCATAAAAGCTGTTTGTCATGCCATGGCTGTAGATTAGTAATGAGTGAATTAGAGTTCAGCTGAGCTGATTCAAGAACCGACATCAGAGCACTCTGGGCATTCCCATAAGCGCTCTGTCCCCATCTTCAGCAGCCAGTGCAGAGTTCCAATACTAATGGTGCCAATAGCATTCTGATTAAATGTGTCTTGCCTTTCCTCTGAGCCTCGGGCATCTGCCAGAACCCCTTGTCATTCCCTCCAGCATCAATCTTACCATATTGTGGTGATCCATCTGCTCCTTCAAAAGTGAATAAACAAGCAAACAGGAGAAAACTGATTTTCACTGAGTTTTTAGAATTGGGCATGTATGTTTGTCTAACATGTTATGTTATCACAGTCAACATCACTGCACATTGGGCATTCCCATATGTGCTTAGTCCTCCTTGCAGCAGCCACTCCAAGGTACCTCTACTGATTGTTCCCATGAGAAGTTGGTTATGGTGTCTTCTGTCTTGAACTCACTGACAGCATAGACATGCTTCACCAAGCTCTACTCCCATATACATGTACATATACATACATTTTGTTAGTACATGTACATGACTTCTGTATGTACACACACATTACTTCTGTTTGTACACATACATTACTTCTGTTTGTATGCCTAAATTGTTTCTCTTTGCATACACACATTATTTTACCAGAAGAATTATTGTGTCTGATTCTCAGTTGGCACTGCTGAAAGTTCAAAATGGATTATTAATGTGGCATGAGTGGATACCATGCATCAGTACGCTAACATTGCAGGGTTAGGTTAGTTGCGTATCCTTTACAGGACGTTGCAGAACCAACCCCAACAGCCCCTGGCTGTTGTGTGGTTTTTCTAGGCAAATTTACGTCCAGTAGTTTGCCAAAAATTGCAGTGTATCACATGAATATAATGTCCAGGATATGCAGGAGAGCGAGGGACTGAAAGAGCGGATATTCTGGCTATAAAAGGGAAAGCTACGGGAACACTCGTACTGGACATGAGAGAGATTATGAATGTTCATATATAAACGAGTGCTGACAGAAGACAGAGATTTGATGAAATAACATGTGCAAGAATATGTGAACGAGGAATTAAGCGTGGACCCGGCAAGGATGGACGGATGAGAGGAAGAGAACGACGTGTGTATAATCAGTGTGCTATGGGAACAGCTGTGGGAGTTGGAGCATATATGGGTATGCCCAGTTTTCTGTGACATGGATTCTTAAATCAGTAATCAGTAATACCTACATTGCTTATGTTGTATTACTTCTGTTTATACACATATGTTGCTTCTATGTGTACACATGCATTACTTATGCTTGTACACATTCATTCTACTGACATATCAACTGTGAATTTCATAAATGTGACTTGTTACCATCCATTTGTAGAGAAGTACTGGGAGATGAATTCCTTCAGTGAGTCTCAGGCCCTCAAATTGGCCTTGTCCTGCCCGGAGGAGTTTGTGAACCACAACAAGAAATTTTTGTCCCGGGTTTACCCAAACGGCATGAGGGTGGATTCCAGTAACTATAACCCACAGGACCTCTGGAACTGCGGGTGTCAGATGGGTACGTGAAATAATGTCTACATTTGTAACTCTTCCTGACCAACCAATTGGTGCTTACCTTAAAAAAAAAAAAAAGCCAGTTGCATGTATTTTAAGAATTTTTTAAAAATTCCCAAAACAACCTTTCAACGTTACAGAAATATCAACACAACTGCATTTTAGGATCATTATTTTGTTCAAAAGAAATGCATCATTCTCATTCTCTGAAACTGCCCTAAGAAACTGGAGGAAGAGTTGAAAAATCAGAATAGATTTAGAGGCTCTGAGGTTTTTTAGAAATCCAGGGGATTGCACCCCTAAACCACAAGCAGTCAGGCAAGCATGAAGTCCATGGCTGCATTTTTGCCCATCAGATCACTAAAATAATTCATGGGAGGTTTTTTTCCCCCAACTTTTTCACGCAAAATAAAAATATTTTAGTAAGGGAATTGATCACTAAATACATACATAGCGAGCAAAGAATTGAGCGCTTCCTTTCCTCTTTGACCATGAATGAGGGTTTTATTAACTTAGCCATAGGTAGCAAAATATCATTGTTATGAGATTATTATGAGGTAACGATAATGTCATTATTTTTGAGAATGGGATTTTGCCACCCCTTATAATATCTATTAACACACACATAAACAAAAGGGGGGGAGGGGAGTATAAATAGTTATAACCACGGGATTCCAGAGCCATGTTGTGGGTGTGAGGGGAGTAGACAGACTGTCTCTCTAACATTACAGAGCCCCGTTGTGGGTGTGAGGGGAGTAGACAGACTATCTCTCTAACATTACAGAGCCCCATTGTGGGTGTGAGGGGAGTAGACAGACTATCTCTCTAACATTACAGAGCCCCGTTGTGAGTGTGAGGGGAGTAGACTGACTGTCTCTCTAACATTACAGAGCCCCGTTGTGGGTGTGAGTGGAGTAGACTGACTGTCTCTCTAACATTACAGAGCCCCGTTGTGGGTGTGAGGGGAGTAGACTGACTATCTCTCTAGCATTACAGAGCCCCGTTGTGGGTGTGAGTGGAGTAGACTGACTGTCTCTCTAACATTACAGAGCCCCGTTGTGGGTGTGAGTGGAGTAGACAGACTATCTCTCTAACATTACAGGGCCCGTTGTGGGTGTGAGGGGAGTAGACTGACTGTCTCTCTAACATTACAGAGCCCCGTTGTGGGTGTGAGGGGAGTAGACAGACTATCTCTCTAACATTACAGAGCCCCGTTGTGGGTATGAGGGGAGTAGACAGACTATCTCTCTAACATTACAGAGCCCCGTTGTGGGTGTGAGGGGAGTAGACAATCTCTCTAACATTCCAGAGCCCCGTTGTGGGTGTGAGGGGAGTAGACAGACTATCTCTCTAACATTCCAGAGCCTCAGTGTGGGTGTGAGGGAAGTAGACAGACTATCTCTCTAACATTACAGAGCCCCGTTGTGGGTGTGAGGGGAGTAGACAGACTATCTCTCTAACAAGCATGTCATCAAAGGCAACTAATTAGGGTGCTTCATTCAATGCTGGAATACTGATAGATGAGGAACATACAGCAGTCTGCATACAAATAAGTCAGATTTGTTGAATTAAGAATCGACATCACAGCACTCGGGACACTCCCATAAGTGCTCAGTCCTATCTTCAGCAGCAAGCAAAGAGTTCAAATTCTGATGGTACCAGTAACCAATAAGTCACATCTGTAAAATGGATGTGCACACAAAAGTCTAATTCTGAAACAAGACCAAAGAACAACCAGGATTTTTTGCCTGAGCTTACACACACTTGCACGCGGAGAAATAAAATCGAAATGAAAAAGATTGGGACAACATAGGGTGAGGTACAAGCCACAGAAAAAGATAAAATGACTTCAGCTATTCAGAAACCATGTTTCTTATGCAGTGATGTCTGTTTCACTTACCTCAACTTCCACTATTCAGAACTTTTCTTATGTAGTAATATCTATTTAAGTTGCCCTCAACTTCCACCATTCAGAAACCACTTTTCTTATGTAGTTGTCTGTTTCAGTTTCCCTCAACTTTCACAATTCAGAAACCACTTTTCTTATGCAGTGATGCCTTTTTTAGTTGCCCTCAACTTCCACTATTCAGAAACCACTTTTCTTATGAAGTCATGTAAGTTTCAGTTGTGCTCAACTTCCGCTATTCAGAAACCACTTTTCTTATGCAGCTATATCTGTTTCAGTTGCCCTCAACTTCCACTATTCAGAAACCACTTTTCTTATGTAGTCATGTCTGTTTCAGTTGCCCTCAACTTCCACTATTCAGAAACCACTTTTCTTATGTAGTCATGTCTGTTTCAGTTGCCCTCAACTTCCAAACAGCAGGGCTGATGATGGACCTCTACCATGGGTGGTTCCAGAAAAATGGGGCCTGTGGTTACATCCTGAAACCTGCCATCATGAGAGAGGAGATTGCTTACTTCAGTGCCAATACTCGGGATGTGATACCTGGTGTATCACCTCAGATTCTCCACATAAAGGTAAGTGGCAGGATTTTGATCACCTGCCAGTTTCATGTGTCAGGGGTGCTGACTGTAGTTCAGGGTCATTCAACTAAGTTTAGTCAGGGGGCAAAATGTTGAAAATCATGGACTGACCAGAGACTCAAGGCCTAGCTTAGAACACAGTGCAATTGGCAGGTGATCCATGGGCCAATTCCTATGCCTCTGTGGGCCAGATTTAGCCTGCAGGCCACCAATTGAATAGCCCTGCTGTAGTTTGTAAAAGTGTAGCTGTAACAGTGGCTGGCTTATTGTGTTAACTCTTTCAGTACCAGGCACTTGTTACTTTAATTTGATCTTTATAATAAGTTGTTACTATAGCTCATTCTCACTGAAGTTGTTATTTTAACTTGTTTTATCATGTATTATTGTTTAAATTTTTTTCTTTTATAGGAAATTATTACTGTAACTTCTTTTGACTAAAGTTATTTTAACTTGAATCACACATTATTATTTTAACTTGTTCTTTTTTATTTTTATTTTCTTAAAGGTGTTACTAAAGTTATCTCAAAATATTTTTTTTCAACTTATTCTGGCACAAGAAGTTTTTACTTTAAATCCTTTTTGTTTGGTCATAAGTTACTTTAACCTATTCTGTTATAAGAGGTTGTTACTTTATGTTACTTTAAATCATTCTCTTATAAGTTGTTACTTTTACTTATTCTAATACAGAAAGTTGTTACTTTTAATAGTTAAACTAATAACTCAGATACAAAGGGTTAATATAACAACTGTGTGATGATAGAAGACAGCTGAAACATTATTTTGACTTTGTAATGACAAATGAACTTATGAGCATCGTTTTGTAGTGAAAAAAATGAATGAGGATGAAGAAGAAATAGAAACAAAGCAATGATGGAAATTAACATGTAATTCCTCCGTGATGACCCTGGGTGCCCCATTATTAAGAGGAAAAAATTGACCCACTGCTACTATACAAGCATGTTGAGTTGAATTGAGTCAAGAACTGACATCACAGCACTTGGGGCATTCCCATGCATGCTTTGATGGTACCGGTCACAAGCATGTTCTAAAAGGTGACCAATAAGGGATTTGCTGACATTTTATGTAGTGGACCTACAGCCTAGCTGTTAACCACAATACAATGAGCCAACATCCCTTTTCAAGGTGAACACAGAAAAGAAAAAGAATCTATTTAAGAATGTTAAATTTTGTATTAAATGTTGGCAAAGTTGTTAGACTTGTAATTTGTGCCACAGTTAGATTGAGCCATTGATTCCTGTTTTGTTAATGTCCTCACAAGATCATCAGTGGCCAGAACTTTCCAAAACCAAAAGGCTCCGCTGCAAAAGGAGATGTGACAGATCCCTATATCACCATTGAGGTATTTGGTATTCCAGCAGATTGCTCTGAGGAAAGAACCAAAACTGTCCCGCATAACGGTGTGTTAACAACTGTGTATGCTTATTTGTTTTGTCATTATTTTGTAAAAAGGGGGCGGGGGGAGGAAGGGGGGGGGGTGTGTGTTGGTAGGGGTGGAAGATCTGACCAAATTATTAATCATCAATCAGCAAGTCATTTACAGAACGTCACTCTCTTCACGGCGCCCCTGAAAGTATCCCTTTCCCTAGCCAGCTCTCGGGCCCCATGTGCTTTGAATGCCAATGCATCTTCAATGTCCTGTATCCATCTTCACAGTGGTCGACCCCTGCCTTCCCTTCCACAAACTGCACCCTCCATCACCGTCTTTTCCAAGCCACCATGACGCTTGATGTGGCCAAAATACTTCAACTTTCAGGACAGGATGCTGTTTATGAGCCAGTTCTCCCTGATTTTCAACTGGTTCAGATTGTCGACATTTTTCCTCTTGCTGATCCATGGTATTCTAAGAATTTTTCTGTAACATTTCATTTCAAAAGCTCCAATCTTTTTCCTCAGTGACTGATTATTATTGGTGCTGATAAACTGATCTTCCCAATATGGGTTCCAGGTCTCCATTTTGGAGAACAAAGAATAGAACCCCACCCCCTGAGCAAGTATGTTTGTTGTAGGAGATGACTAATAAGGGATGTTCCCTTCGAAGGAAACCTAAAAAGCATGAAATCAACAGTCCACATGCAAATAAGCCAGATCTGTAAAACGCATGTGCATGCAAAACTCAAGTTCTGGATTAAGACCTAAGTAGAGGAGTCAACAAACAACCAGAACCTTCCACCTAATTCAGAGTTAATAGCAGGTGGATACTAAGAAAATGAAGAAGAAGAGTATGCAGCTTATTTTCTATAGTTGCCATTGCTTTTTGAATTTGTTGGCTCTCAGTAGTATTGTTGAAATCGATGCAAAGCGAGCTGCTGAAGAATCACCCCCGCAGCTAGAAGCAAGCAAGGTATCTCAGTATTACAAGGCATGTTCTCAGTGCATAAGCCACAGAAGCCGACTTGCTGATAACCGTGTGCTAAAAACAGAAACAGTTCCAAAGTCTCAAAACTATCTCAGTCAAACCAGTTTATAGGGACTTCCAGCCAAAATGGAGGAAAGGCTTGGCAGAATGTTAAGCCTCGAAGTTAGTTTTGTTTCCGACAGCGCTTTGCTAATGCAGTTTCTACATAAGGATGGTAGTCTATGGTTTTGCTGCCTGAGATACTGAGTTTAGTGCTTGAAGTTTGGTGCTCTGGATTGTTCCAGGACTAATTGTTTGTTCACCAGTTTTTTAAATGCAACAGTGAGGGACATTTCATTTGATTCACACTGGCACAGGAACCAAGCAACCAACCCTGGTCACTCCTTGCTAAACTATTCTCTTCAGACTGCTGGGATCTATTTATGCTTCTGCTCTGTTCACTCACTCCCAAAGGGCCTTGACCGCATGTTAATTGTCATTTATCAGTTTATCACCAAGTGTTCCAGAACTAGTTAATCTGTCTGTTCATTTCCCAACACACCTTCATCCCAGGAGAAATGATTAAAAATACTTTAACTACCCTAGACATCTGAAGGGATGCTTGCCACTCTGCATGAAGCATACCTGTCGCCACCTTTCTCAGCATGCTTTGTCAGTCTGTTATGATTACAGTATGGGTTTGCAGTAAACTCACCTATAACCCTGAATCATATGTTCAAACATCTGCACACATATTTCTAGCTACATGTGAAAAAATATTAACAACTAGAGTGACAAACAACACATCAACAAGTTTTTCAGACAGTTATTCAGAATGAGAATTATCTATTTCCAACACCAGGTTACAACCCCATTTTCGATGAAAGCTTTGAGTTCCAGATAAACCTGCCCGAGCTGGCCTTGGTGAGGTTCGGTGTGCTGGACGATGACTTCATTGGGGATGAGTTCATCGGGCAGTACACAATACCTTTTGAATGTATGATGACAGGTTAGTTCACTGAAATGATTGTGAAAATGCTGTGTGTTGTAACCTGTCACTGAGGAAAGAGGAGTCGCCATGGCAGAGCGGCTAGATGCTCTCTGCGGATCGGAAGGTCATGGGTTCGCTTCTTGGCCGAGCCAGACTTTAAAAAAAAAACAATATCATGGCTCCTAGGTCGACCCAGCCTTGAGTGGATACCGGGAGCAGTCCTGGAAAGTAAAGGCGGCCAGCATGATGCTGACCACATCACCCATCTTGTGCCGATTGGTCTAGAGAATAAAGGTCTAGCCCTATATGCCCTATACACCAAAGGCCTGGAAAAGAGTCCTTTAATTTACTCCGGGAAGACTAAATCTAATCACTTCAGGTTGTCACACAGTTCTGTAAATGTTTATGTGTGGTCATTTCTGCAGTGACCTGTAATGTGTATGTCTGCCCAGTGTTGAATAGCAAGGATATGAATAAAGTAATTAAAATTAGCATTGAGGGTTTCCTTATGACCACAATGGCTTTTTTAAAGATAAGTTGATGTAAAATTGTCCACTAAGCCTCAGTGAGTGAGGTCACGGGATCACAGAATGAATCAGCAAATCAATAGTTTGTTCAGGCCTTGGGAAATTTATTCCATTTAGTGCTTCACTTTGTTCTTGTTTATGGATTGCCACTTTGTTTGTGTGAGTGTATGTATGGATTGCCACTTTGTTTGTGTGAGTGTATGCAATGTAGATAAATAATTTTTTTGGTAAATGTAGTAACCACCTTTATAATATGGTTTTCATAATCTTTTTTCTTCTACATTCACAGGGTAAAGGGAGAAAAAAAAAAAGAAACTAGCATTTAGTTGTTTGTATGCTTATTTCCAGAAAGTTGTTGTAGATGACTTGTTTACGGTATACTAAAAATGTTCTACAGTGATTAAAAACGTTTCGTACTCTTACAGTAATATTTTTGTTAAAGGTTTAAAGTACGGCTGTTGGGATATGAAGTTAGGTTTTCACATATTCTAACCTTAGAACCACATATTCTAGGCTTAGAACCACATATTGTGGGCTTAGAACCACATATTCTAGACTTAGAGGGCATATTGTGGGCTTAGAACCACATATTCTAGACTCAGAGGGCATATTGTGGGCTTAGAACCACATATTCTAGACTTAGAGGGCATATTGTGGGCTTAGAACCACATATTGTGGGCTTAGAACCACATATTGTGGGCTTAGAACCACATATTGTGGGCTTAGAACCACATATTGTGGGCTTAGAACCAAATATTGTGGGCTTAGAACCACATATTCTAGGCTTAGTACCACATATTCTAGGCTTAGAGGGCATATTGTGGGCTTAGAACCACATATTGTGGGCTTAAAACCACATATTGTGGGCTTAGAACCACATATTGTGGGCTTAGAACCACATATTCTAGGCTTAGAGGGCATATTGTTGGCTTAGAACCACATATTCTAGGCTTAGAGGGCATATTGTGGGCTTAGAACCACATATTCTAGGCTTAGAGGGCATATTGTGGGCTTAGAACCACATATTCTAGGCTTAGAACCACATATTCTAGGCTTAGAACCACATATTGTGGGCTTAGAACCACATATTCTGGGCTTAGAACCACATATTGTGGGCTTAGAACCACATATTCTAGGCTTAGAGGGCATATTGTGGGCTTAGAACCACATACTCTAGGCTTAGAGGGCATATTGTGGGCTTAGAACCACATACTCTAGGCTTAGAGGGCATATTGTGGGCTTAGAACCACATATTCTAGGCTTAGAACCACATATTGTGGGCTTAGAACCACATATTCTAGGCTTAGAACCTCATATTGTGGGCTTAGAACCACATATTCTAGGCTTAGAGGGCATATTGTGGGCTTAGAACCACATATTCTAGGCTTAGAACCACATATTGTGGGCTTAGAACCACATACTCTAGGCTTAGAGGGCATATTGTGGGCTTAGAACCACATATTCTAGGCTTAGAACCACATATTGTGGGCTTAGAACCACATATTCTAGACTTAGAGGGCATATTGTGGGCTTAGAACCACATATTCTAGGCTTAGAACCACATATTGTGGGCTTAGAACCACATATTGTGGGCTTAGAACCACATATTGTGGGCTTAGAACCACATACTCTAGACTTAGAGGGCATATTGTGGGCTTAGAACCACATATTCTAGGCTTAGAACCACATATTGTGGGCTTAGAACCACATATTCTAGGCTTAGTACCACATATTCTAGGCTTAGACCACATATTCTGGGCTTAGAACTTCACAGATTCTTTACCTAGGTCTTTACTAGGCTTGGAACTTCACATATTGTAGACTTAGACTTTTACACAGGGTGTCTAAAGTCTTAATATATTCTGGACCTAAAACATCATCCATATTTCTATTTATTCTTTCAGGCGAAAAAGTTAGAAGAAGAAATACCGTAAATTGTTTATTACAGTTATTCTGTTTGCTGATTTGTTTTCTGTCTAATCAAGAATAGAAGAAGAATTACTCAATTGTTTATAACTATTATTCCATGCCTCTTGTTTATGTTTTCCAGGCTACCGACACATCCAGCTCCTCTCCAACACAGGGAATCCCATGGAGAACTGCACTCTCTTTATTCATGTAGCAATAACAAACAAGAGGGGAGGAGGGGTGAGTATGGTATGTGGCTTTCAATGACAGTATATTAGCTCGTAGCTGTTAACCCTTGCAACCCATAAAATCTTAAACGCTACAATTTTTCCATATTTAAAAAAAAACACTTTTGTTATGATTTGTTAAAACCACTGTAAAAAAAAAACTAAAATTAAGAAGCAGAAAAAAATTGAGTCTTGGTCAGTTTTTAGAAAAATCCAGAAAGTTGAAACATATGACTATCGAGCAGACAGGCAAATCTGTCAGCTGTTGCATTGTTGCGGCCTCCAAGTCACTGAAAAGGTGGATTTGTCATATTCGTAGTTATTATTTTGGATAACTAAACTCAGGATATACAAAACATGTGTTAGGACAGTTCTCCTCTATGGAGCAGAAACTTGGGAAACAGACAGAAAGATAGAGAGCATGCTCAGAGGTTTTGAGGGAAGACTTCTCAGAAGATTGTAGGGGTTCACATGACAAGATGAAATCAGCAATTCTAGATTACAACAAATGACAGACCTAGAAGATGTAAATTTAAAATTAAATAAATGAAGATGGAGGTGGATTGGACACGTCTTCAAAATGAAGAAAGAGAGATGACCGAGACAGGCAATGCAACAGACACCACAAGGACAGTGAGGAAGAGGCAGTGCAACAGATACCACAAGGACAGTGAGGAAGAGGCAGTGCAACAGACACCACAAGGACAGTGAGGAAGAGGCAGTGCAACAGACACCACAAGGACAGTGAGGAAGAGGCAGTGCAACAGACACCACAAGGACAGTGAGGAAGAGGCAGTGCAACAGACACCACAAGGACAGTGAGGAAGAGGCAGTGCAACAGATACCACAAGGACAGTGAGGAAGAGGCAGTGCAACAGACACCACAAGGACAGTGAGGAAGAGGCAAGCCCAGAGGTACTTAGAGATGAACCTTTCAGTCTGAACTCAAGGTTACGCGGACAGAACTGGAGATAGAAGTATGAATGGAAACTGGTCAACTCCCATCTCATAAATCAGGGTCTAGAATGGCATCCATTAGAATTATGTTCCTCAGGACATTCTATAATGTCTAGTTCTCTTCAGTAGCTATGAAATGAAAGTGACAGATTTGCCAGTTAGCCAAGACCTGGGAAAGGGTGGTGGCGCAGGGGGGCTGACATGTGGGGGGACTGTCATGCATTTTTTCTTGAGCTATTATTCATCTTTTTGTATTCAACCCAGTGTTTATCAAGTTAGTTGCATATCCATTACAGGGCATCAGAAACCAACCTTAGCATTTGTTGTTGCCTTTCGTTGGTTTACGAGACAATTTCATGTTGCGTAGTTTGCCATTCCTTCTGAACAGTTTGACTCTCATACCATTATCAGAATCAGTGCAGTGAAAGTCAGTGTTAAATTTTCTGCAGCTGACATCAGATCCTGAGGTGTCAACAGTGTTAAAAAGCATATGCCACCAACTCCGACCCAGGGACTATGGTATTTGTTCTTCTTCTTCTTGTTTTGTTCACTTGAAATAGATTATCTATATTTGCAATGTCGTCTCTAACATGAACTTCACTGTCTGTTGTAATTCAATCAGCAATCCATGAAGTTTGGCTTGCACTGGTGTTTCTCTTGGCCAAAAGATTTGCCATGATATGTTGTATTTGGGACAGCTGGTATGAGTTAACTTTTAACATTTCTGTCACTGCATTATACTTCAGTTTGTATGATGTTTCCCACAATTATTATTGTTTCAGCGGGTGAACAAACGAGGCCTGTCTGTGAAGAAAACCCGCAGATCCAAGGAGTACACCAGCATGAAGTCTGTTGGGGTTAAGAGCATTGATGAAACATTCAAGGTACAGTAATCTCTCCATCACAGATGATGACTGTCTGTTTGCTACATTGACAAGGCTTTGAATGTACAGTAGAATTAGAATGGCACTGCGAGGAGTTACAAGGGGATTTGGCAGATGCTCGACACTAAGGGAATAAGGCGAGCCCAATATACAGTCAGACAGTTACTGGTACCATCAGAATTTTAACTCTTCGCTTGTTGCTGAAGATGGGGACGGAGCGCTTAGGGGGGTGTCCCGAGTGCTTTGATGTTGATTCTAAATTCAACATTCAAAAGTAGAATTTTTAGAGCATGTGTCTAGTTCTTGCATTGGTACTGGTGAATTGTATATAAGATGTCCCCATGTATAAGACCACCACAAAATTAAGAAATAAATGTTTTAATAACATTCCATGAATAGATGATCCCAACTTTAAACTTTAAAAATTGGGAAAACATAGCATCCTATACATGAAACATATGGTAATCTTCTTCTTATCACTTTGTTTATTTAAAAAAAAAAAAAAACTGGTCAAAACATTTGCTTATTGTCTGCATTTTTTTCCTTTCATTGATGTGTCTAGTTGCTGTGTGTGCATGCATGCAGGCTTTTTGTTCATTCATTCATTCATTCATGGTTTTTGCCTACCATGTTGATACTGTGATGCTTCATCTAATTGTACATTTCTTTGGCTGCAGACTGCAGTTCAGCCACTCAAGGATGGAGCCGATCTCAGGGACGGAGTGCAGGTAGCACTGGCTACATTCAAGGACTCCTGTTGTCTAGGTCCTATTGCTAACCTCAAGCAGTGTATCCGGTTGTTGTCCTCCAGGATAGCAAACTCCGGGGAGCTGGTTTCACTGTCATATTCAATGCAGGGTGAAGTAAGTGAGACGTATGCTTCTGTTCTTCTCAGTAAATAGATATGAAGCTGATACTAGAGATGCCTTGGTACTGCAGTGGTTTTATGCTTGCCTGCCAGCACAAAGGTCTTTTAAGTGAAATCCACAGTGAGCCAGATTGGTTTATAATCAACATTGGCTTTTAGATTGTAACCCAAAAAAAAAGGACACCTTTGGGCGTATAGGGCTAGATGTAAATTTTATAAACAAATCTGCACAAGATGATTGATGTGGTAGGCATCATGCCAGCCGCCTTTACTTCCTGGGACTGCACCTGGTACCCACTCAAGGCTGGGACAACCTGGGAGCCAAGATCATTTTTGAAAAAAGCCGGCTCCACCAGGGAGTGAACCCATGACCTTCCGATCTGCGGCCAGCGTCTAGCCACCAACGCTACGGCAACTCCCCACTTTCAGGTTGAGCCAGCCTAAAATGTATACCGTGAAATATCTTAGAAAGTAAAAAAACTGCTAGCCTTATGTTGTTGACCACAAAACCCATTGATTACTGAATGGCTATAAAACCATGTCTAACATCAACTGCTACCTTGGCATGGGAAGTAGAGATTAGTAACACTGTAATATGTCATACCTGTTGAAAGAAGTAATTACCACGTTTCTCGGAAAATAAGATCAGGTCTAATAGTAATAATTTTTGCTTCAAAATATTTACTGGCGCTTTTTTTAGGGGACTTTTTCCAGATTAAAAAAAATCTACATTTTTTTTATATACAGAATTCTACGTTTGATCAGATACTGTAATATCGTCATCTTCTGGAACATCACGTCATAACTCTCCAAATCCCAGATTCCAGCCTGAATTTACAAGAGTTAAGAATGATGGTGTCACCAATTGAAAGAGAAGGCCAACCAGAGAGATGAGTGGAGGCTAGGGATATCTACAGCAATGAACCTCACGGGCTCAGAATGGTGAAGAAGAAGAAAAAGAAGAAGAATGATTGTATACACAAATGTGAGGAGAAATTGCTAGTGCAAAAATTTGGCTTCTTGATTTCACACGACTGACATATCTTGAATTATGAACTGCAGTATCCAGTGCACAGCAGTGGTGTCTGAGTGGCCATTCAGCAACAAGTCTCTCATTCTAGCTATGCAGTGGATTTCAGGCCACTCGGGCACACCAGGTAATGACAGAGCTGACAGTAGGCAAAGAAAAGAGCAACACAAGAACAACCACCTACAGCGACAACCCTACAGACAGCAAAAACTCTTATAAAAGCTATAAACAAAGAGACTTGGTTGAAAAGATGGGCCATGGGAGACACTGGAAGAGAGGTTTATATACATATGGCTGGCCCTGATCCTAATGACAGCATTAACCAGCTAACAAGAAGGGACCAGGCCACCATCTTCAGAACACAACATACTCCACTCAGTGGACATGTAAACAGAATACCGTCACAACACTCCCCAGAGTGCCAGCTATGTAACTACCCCTACGAACTGTTGAATACCATCTCTTTGAGTGCCCAAAACTCAGCGAGACTAGGAGAATGCTACTTCCTCTGAGACCAGACAAATGGAACACCTTGTACGGAGGAAAAGAACAGCTTATGAAAACATGTAAATTCCACTACATGGCATTGGGCCAAAGGGCGAAAGTTCATGCACCGCTGGATCGATAACATCAACAACTCATTCTAGCTGGTGGTCTTAACTAGAGCCTCTTTTTTGAGATAGGGCTTATATTAAAAGATTCTTGAAAATTGTGCTAGGGCTTTTTGGGTAGGTCTTTTTCTGGGGAAACATGGTAGAGTTGGAGTAAAACGGCTATTTCATCAAATAGAACATTTTTTTTAACTGCAAAATTCATGAAGGCATGGGCAGATCTACAAAAGAACCTATTGGGATGTTTGATTGTGTTTCATTGGGATATGAAAGGCAGAAGAAAAAAAATCAATTTTAAACTTAGATCATGTTTATTTATCTACAAATAAAGCAAAGTAGGTGAAACTGTTTTGTATCAGAATTGCCCAAGACTAAAACTTGCTTTATAGCTGTTATGCAGATGTTTGAAGACTGAACTAGCATATGATACCACAACATTCAGCTTAAGAATTGAGGTGGAGGCGGTCACTGCAGCTTTCCGCTGATTAGAGAACACAACATACACACATCGTGATTGTAACTGACTCAGAAAGCATGCTGGGGAGAATCAGGACAGGCATGCTTCATGCAGAATGGCATGCTTCACTTATGTTAGCAGTTCCTGTTTAGTGTGTGAGTTAGAGTGAAATAGAGATATAAAACTAAAAATGAGTAATTTCATAT